AAAATATAGCGGAAGTGGGGATGTTGCTTTGCCCGCTTATTTTTGACGAAACGGTTCTTCGCACAAGAGATGAACTATTAGCTCAGTACGTTAGTGACCACGACTCTCAACCGAACTGTCAAATCCCTCGACAATCATTTTTGTCACATGTCTTTATAAGGAGACAGTGGTCGGCCATGTCGAGTCGACGAGTCGTCGACGACGCCAGTCAACCCCTGACAACCTTTTGTTTTTAGTCACCCAATTTACAAAATAATTTCAATAAGAGCCCGGCGGGCTCAGCCCGCTGAATTCTTGATAAGAAGCTCAGAGAGCTCCGCCCCTTCGCACCGAAGACCTAGTATTATACAGGGGCCTAGTGGGTCTTCTGATACAACTTCTGATATACGTACACATCTGAGAACATAGACATTCCGTGGCACCGAGGGGAAAAGAGAAAGACATGTTTAGGTTGAAGCGACTGAGTATGAGGTCAATGCAAATTGTCATATATTGCCCACTTACCAACCTGATGGTAGGGAAAGTATTGGAACTTTGATATAGCCCATCGATGCGCGAGTTCGCATCGCGCGTGATAACAGTTCCTGTGTCCACTGTATACTATCCAGAGAGGGACCCAATGTGCCAATCGATGGCGCGCCAGGCTTTGGGCTGAGCTCGCCTCGCTCTTTGTGGGCCCCACGATCATCATATTGAATTCCGTACTTGGAGTGTAGGTCAAGAATTCGTAACAGATACCGCCGCCACCATGGCCGCCGAATGAAACGACAACCCACTTCCATGGGCATTATGAGCCAGAAGGCCCAGAATTTCAAAGAGCCCTCCAGAACTTCGGCCTGACCAGTTCGTTCTCGCGAGACTACTGGCTAGTGGAAGCCTGCGTAGGTCGTTCGCCGTTTATCACAGTATCGGCAACTATTCATTCATGCAGATAGCGACAGCACCAGATTAACCTCTCGAATCGAGAGTCTCGATATCACCGGTGCACGAGATAACATTCCGTCGGCGCTGTCGGACTTCTTTAACGTCCATCCTCAACGCATACGAGAACTCGAAAGTTTCGAGTCGAAACCGAGTCGGTTTAACCGACATCAGGAAGGGCAGGGTAAACGTCAGAAAGCTCCTCATCTTATGAGAACATCCAGTATTATATTATCGTCATAACATTGTGCGTTGCGGACATTGATGATCCCTCGGCTCTGTCGGGCATTGACTTACTCATCAATATCACTGAGGTTGGGAAGGACCCAACTCATACGATGTGGACCAGAAACGATTGGCTGCACGAGTATAGTCAACGGATAACCTTGAAACCTATTGGTAAGCCAGCTGGAAGGCGCCCGTCGGAAAAGGACGCTTCAAGGTTTGGCTGAGGCGATCCTCATGAGACTGGCC